CCCCAATCCCCTTTTCCCCCCACTTTCCTGATGTAATGTATATATCCTGAAATCAATACAAGCAAGGAATTTTTTTCAATCACCAAAAGTAAAATGAGTATATGGTACATATTTCACTATAATACTGGTTTTGTAGATATAGTATTTATGTGAAAGCATACATATATTCTGTCTCCTCTCACATGAAGAAATGGTACTAACATGTTTTTCTGAGAGATATAATATTACATCCATGTACGTCTTTCAAAAAAAGAAGAGATATTTATTTTACTTCATGATTTCATGTCCTTAATAAACAAAGGAAGTTATCCTAATTTTTCACTCTTAAAGTTTCATCATTCGTTTAAACAAGCAAATCTATGTTTATCTACTGATGTTTAGGTGTTGTCTTTGCCTCATTTATGGCTCTTCAGACGCTACTTTTTAAAATCATTTTCTGACCGGGGGGATGTTTAAGCCAAGAGACGCTTAATGGTGCCCAGTTAGACAGACAATGCAGAGGGCCCAGCTTATTTCTCTCTTTTATTTCACAACTTTCATAAGGTCATGTGCAACTTTTTGTCTCGCATTTTTTCCCAGACTTGAACACAGCCTTAACTAAGAATTCTTTTAAAGACAAGAGGTGTCCTATCCGAGCTGGATCATCTTACACTCTTACAGTTATAGGCCACCAATTACAAAAGACATCATCAGCCAGCTGTTCAGATGAGATAAGCCAAAAATTTTGAATTGATTTTATTGCAGTTTCTTAATATGTGGTATCAACTGCAAATGTTCCAGAAATATTTTATCAAAATTCAAATTCTCAATATAGGAAAAAAGCAAGAAAAGATACATATTTTGGGTAGCCTACTATCTTTAAAATAACAAAACAGGTTTTTCAAGCTAAGAACAGGTAAACATCTTCCTTATGAATTATTTTTATGAATAAGATAATGGGTTGCCCACTATCAACTAGGAGTTCAGTGAAGACTAGTTCAGTCTTCAAAGAGAGATATACAATATTCAGTCACCCCATGACCCACATGGACACAATGTGAAAGCAACATGTTTGAAATGTTTCCTTTTACTGTGAGGAACAATTGTTTGCTTTGACTTTTGAATGATGGAAAAGGTTGTAAAACAAATACGGCCTTAACCAGAGTAGATTTGATTGTATAAATGAAAGTTTCATGAGTAGAAGATTTCAAGCTTGTTGTCCTTAAACCAACATTCCAGCAGTAAATAATGCAACAGTTCAGAAAAAAAATATTTCGCAGAAAGTAAAGAGATGAATAATTATCTCATTTCTGAATTAAGAATACAGTATGATATTATCTACACGATAAAAGAAATGCAAATATGTGAAAAATATACACATCACAGATAATTATCATTCCCTTCAGTTTTACTCTTTTTGACATTATGGAGGCAACATCTCAGAACAAATAAAAAACTATTCATTGCAAAAGCTACAATTATTGCTTTCGATTTAGAAATAGTTAAAGTGAATTATAAAATGTATCTAAGATTGTCAATGTTTCTTCTTGAAAATTGTCCGGTAGGAACAAAGACGAACTGGTTATAACACTGAAATATCTCACGCTGCAAATGTGAAGTTGAAAAATCACTGAACCTTCTATTCCGAGACCTCTCAAGGGATATGAATGATGCATAATGTTTACAAGACTGTTGGACTGTCCTCTTCAGATGTCCTAGCTCAGAGGTTCTTAATCTGTTTTTGGTCGAACCCCGGGATTTTGGTGAGTAAGTTTCAGGGGTTTGGCTGAGGTCAAGACACACACATTTACTGAGTGAGTGTCTGTTCCTTTTGCCCACATTAAGGGTTCAGTGAAAGGGCTTATGAAACTTATTGTGGGGCTCAGTACCACCAATAAGGCTAAGAACCACTATTTTACCTTAAGTAGTGACCACTTTGTTGAGCATGATACAAGTGGAAGCAAGGGTGCTAAATTGTTCAGATGTTCCCAGCTCAAGCTTTGACCAGTTTGTTTGGCCGTGTCTGAATGTCCACAGCCCGTCTGTAGTCTTCAATGGCCTCCGCCTGCCTTCCCAGTTTACCTCTAACATCAGCTCGTCGTTTCAGCATCAGCGCATCATCTGGCTTCAGACTCATGGCTAATTGAACAACATGGGAGGGGGGAGGAGAAGACAAAAACGTTTAAAACAAGGAGTAGGAGGGCAAGGGCAGAAAACACAACCAGGGCCAGGGGAAGGACTAATAATATCATTACTACACACACACATACACACACACATGAATACTCACACAAATACACATTAGGGCACACACACACACACACACACACACATGAATACTCATACAAATACACATTAGGGCACACACACACACACACAC